CAAAAAGTATGACAAATATTGTCAACACTGTCACAGTTATTCGTCATTTTGAATTCAAATTTGAATTTGAAAATGATGCTTTCCTTTATGTTTAACAATCTAAATGAAACTACATTTGCTAATTTTCGATTATTTATGATTTGACTGTCCTTTAAAATTCCATACACAAATATTTCTTTTATTAAAAAATACGAAATAATTTAAGCATACTAAAAAGAAACTTGGAAATGGAATGTCTTGAAATATTTCACTTTCCTTCCTCTTTCGAATCAAAACCATACATAATCGATCCGATTGGCGCGTTTGCATTAATTACAACAATCAAAACTGTTTTAAAAGTATTCCCTTTACATATTTCGTAACTTTTGTTTACACTCAAAGAGAATGAAAAGGTCAACCAGCACATATTGTTAATGGAATCAATTAAAATGAAGAGGTCAATCAAAATATATCAGACATTTGGAGGGGGAAACAGAGATGATTTATCCAGGAGAACAGAATAAAATAAATGCAGTTCTTGTTCACATTACTATACTGTAATTTTCAAAAAGGTTAAACGAGAAGGTTTGAGAGTTAATGTAATTTGCCATCTGATAAACAGTATACTGATTATGATGATAAAGAGAGTATATAGTGGTATGGCTAATGTTATACTAACAAATGTATCCATATCTAAGGTACCAATAACATCACCCGATATTTGCGTCTCCTCAATTATTGATTTCTGGAAAAGTTTGGTGTATTTAAATGATTAAGATTAATTTATTATTCTTTGTCAAGAACATGAATGATTCCTACTATCATGTACGTTATCAGTAGATTTAATTAAGATGTAATTTGCCAGTAAAATTTATCAGAGGAAATGATCAAGCTTTGAGTACAATTAGTTTCACTTAAGACATTGATCTCTTATTTTAATTCAGTTTTCCGTCTGTATAGTCAAGCATTCTGGTACTTTTATGAATTTAGTAAGCAATAAGCTATATAGCTATATGCTTACATAATAAACAAAGCTAGATAAATGAATACCTGTCGTGTAATAATTAACGGTAAAGCATTTACTGGTAGACGACGATTATCCTCAGTTGGCGAAAATGTCCGAGACTCGTCAAATTCCAGAAATTTTGATAGCTCATCCTTAATGTTGCTTATTTCTGTTGATAGGAAGATTTCTTTTGAATAAGAAAATTTGCTGTCAAAATTTGAAAGCTATCTGGCCATCAGATGATTTTAAAATAACTTCTAGCTTTTCTAGCATTTCCTTTTAGCTTCTCAAATGAACTAGCCTTTGTCATTCCATTATCAAACCACTGTTTTTTATCATTATTCATCCATCAGTAAATATAATACTGTATAAACAGTTTTACCTTGTTAAAATCATCTACCAATAATTGCATTTTCATTCGGAATATCTGACGTTTTTTTTTTAACACTCAAATGAATCGACCTTATCTATGATAAGGTCTTTTTTTTTCATCGTTCACTCATTTATCAGTGTAATCAGTACTTTGCAGTTTACCTTGTTTAAATTATCTGGCAATAATTGTACTGTCATTCGAAATGAGAGTGTTAAAATTTCGAGGATACAAAATTGCGCAAATGTCGTCTGCAACACATAACGAATTTTATCGCCAACAATACAAGTCAGCATGCGTTCCGTTTCAAGCTTCAGTGCATTCTCTTTTTGAAATGGCATAAGCCAACCTAAATTTAAAAAGTTTCCAATTAAGCGTTAATGCTAAAGAAGTTCAAATTAAAAATTATAATATGCTAAAGATAATGCAAAATGAAGAAATTATCATGCTAATTTGCATAAATTAAAAATGATCAATGATTCATTCACTTGGATATTGTTCGTCAACGTTATTCAATGCAATTATTTGTCCAAGATAATCCACAATTGCCACATCATTTAATGTTGGAAAACCAGAAGTTATATCTTTATAACCGTATTGTCGTAATTTAAGTTTTATCCCTTCATCAACAAATAATGTCGCCTTTGATATGTTATCATTGTTATAGCAAAAATAATATAATTTATTACTCCATCCTGCATAGTAATATCTGTGACAGAGAAGAAATTTTAATGCGTAAGATTATTTTAATATTTGAAATCATTCAATAAATAAAGAAAATTATTTGATATCATAAACGGAATATTGAATTAGCAAATAAATAATCGTTTAGCTTTTCGTTTTAAAATTTAAAAATAAAAAATTTTTAAAAAGTAAACAATACTTTAATTACGGTAATATAATAATTTTTACGCAAGATATTACTTGTTTGTGCATACAATAAGGGTAAAAAAAAAAGGTAGAATTTTCGTCACCAACATGGGATGATAACAGTGGTGGATTCGTACAAATTTAGCCATTGGCCAATATATCTCACAATAGAGAATGTCATTGTAAATTGTCCAATTGCAAGATGGAAATATGATTCGAGCTTTAGGTGCATCAATGATGAAAAAATTCACATTCTAAAATATTTTGTTTGTTGGAATTTGGAAATTAAATGAATTAAATTATCTAATTAAATGACTAAATCTGTTCTTATCTTCGATGCATCATTGCATTTTTTGTAGTCATTACATTTTATTAATTTTAAAAATTCTTTTAAGTTATAGTTTAAAGGAATCATTATCATAATTTCTCCATAAATTTCGTATCAACTATAAATTAATGATAAATTGTTAGGTTATAGCTTAAAAATTAATGACTTCTTCAAATTTAGAATTTTTTTGAGATGATATTATGGTGGAAGGAACCAAATGCACGGTAGCTGTTGAGCAATCGAAATGATTTATTCCTGCAAGAAATATCACCTATTCATATAGCGAGTAATAATATTTGCTCAATCAGATATCAGCTTTATTAGCCAAGAAATAATTATTTAATTAATAAATATCTTAAATGCTAACGCGTATAAAACGCTAAAATTTTGAACAAAAATTTTATCAAAACTTTTTTCAAAAAGTTTATAGACTGTGTATTTCATGTAAGAAAGCAATGATTAAGCATAAATGGCTAGTAAAATATTATATTTTAGAAGTATGAGGACATAAATGCGGAAAATAGCAGAAATTTTAAACAATTAACAAACTTTTTTCGGGGTCTGACAAAACAATAATCCCATAGGAAATGAGTTATTTTCAATTTATTCATCTGATAATTTTAAATGACCGTAGGAAAAAAGAAATTTTTTTCTATTAATGCTATAATTTAGTTTTTATTTGGTAAAAAGAAAATTGGATTTACTCGTATCAATAACTTTTAAATTATGCAAAAAGTTAGGACTCGAAAAGATCATCATATCGACAACGAAAATTGCACCACCTTGTGTAATACCGTATACGGAATAATTGGAAGCGATCTAAACCAATTCAAATTTTACATAAACTCAAATCAAATTTTAGTTGTTTTCAATATAAGGCACGAGGAAAAAGTAGAAGAAAAAAAAAGAGAGATTTCTGCAAATAGCTAATTTTAATTAAATAATTAAATAAACGAATTAAAACCTTGCTGTGAAGTGGTATGTAACAATTAGCATCAATACATGTTGGTTCTAAACTACAAAGTATCAAGTTCGATATGACAATTAAAATAAGCCAACAATAATCATGTACCACCGCCATCAGTGTCGAAAACTACGTAAAATGATTTTCAAAAAATTTGCGAAGATTTTGATTTTTTACTTTTTAATTCTAATTTTTTTAAATTGGTTCCCTGACTTTTTTTTAATTTTTCAATTATAACCATATTAAAACTAAAAAATTAAAGACTTGTCAAACTTCATAAGATGACAATTCTACTTGTCATGTAGTATTGCTAGCTATTCTGTACAGAGTGTTGGTTTCTGGAACATGTGATACTTGCTTCACCTTTCAGACATTATTATTATAAATCCATAAATGATAACCTGCGTAGAACATCGCTTTTTTTTCATTTGTTACGCAAAGGATTGCAAATTATGCAAGAGTTTTCTTTTTTTTTTGCCACGAAAAGTTTATTCAAATTTTAGATTTACTTTAAATTAAAAAGATCGGCATTTATGAGTGATTGATGAACATCATCCAGATCTCTTCTATTCTCATATTTTCAAAAGGTATACCATTTATTGTGCTCAGTGATTATTTCATTCTTTGGATATTTTAGTTAAGTGTTTAACAAAGAATTCAAATAAGCTTATACCACTTTACGGAACTTATTTTTATGAGCTCATATAATTTCTAATTTTTATAAACTAATTCAGGTTAATGTTATTTACATAGGCCATATTGGCACTCAAATTTAAATCAACGATTTTCATCCATTTTTAATATGTAATAATTAAAATTATTCCATATTCATTAAAACTTAGTAATATATCAAAGTAATAATTATAATTAATCATTTTAGAATCTTTTGCACTCATTCGGCCATTCTCTTATCATTCATAAAACTATTTACCGCTTTAGAGGAAGCTTTTTTATGCATAACAAAATCAGATCTACGCTTGAAACTTATTCACCTGCCAAGGAAAATCCTTATCACTTAAATGAAGAACTTATTGTTTTTTACTTTCTAATCAAATAAGTAAGTCAGAATTAACTCCTCTCCAACCATTCTTTATAAATTAACTTTATTGTTTTCCCACAACTTTTTTATTCCCAAACTTAATTTAGACCGAAACTTGCAGATTTTTGATTATAACTGTTCTAAAATAAAATTATTTATAACGAGTAGATCAAGAAAATGGCAGAAATTTGCTATAATATAACTTAAAATATACAACTTAAAATATATTAAACTTAAAATATGCAAATTATTTCAGAAAAATATGCAAATTATTTCAGACTATCATCAATATTGAGCGATTTTGATAAGCTGATAAAGATAATTTCAAATGTTTTCAAAAATGATAATAAGTTATTTTGTTTTGTAATATTTCATTTTCATTTTCACTAGCCATAACACTTAAATCTTGATCAACGACTTCACTGCATTATATTTCTGTTTTAGAATTTACACCAAAAAAAAAATAGAAGCATAAAAACCCATCTATAGAATGGAAGCATCATCTGTGAATTTACAAACATACAAATAGAAGTTATATTTTGAGAAATAATTTAACAATAGCAAATCTCATTGCAATTTTTCGAGCAAATGTGGATATAAGTTTTTTTAAAAGCAAATTTATTCTCAACTTATAGAAGAAAGAAACAATTCATAGTTATTTTCAACATAGACGACATGATTTCGGGCAATTTTTAACCAGTGACTTGTAGAATGAATTTGTACAAAATCCATTAGCTGCCCAGATAGCACATCTGGAAATGAATGATTTAAACGAAAAATCAAACTTGATCGGACGATTAAAAAGAAAAAGAAAGTATTGTCAATAGTGATAACATTGGTTTCGAGCGGTTTTCAACCATATGTAAAAACATAAAAATTTCCAATTTTTGGGATTTTAATGAAGATTTTATGAATTTTTTTACTATTTCTGATCGATAGGATATTGATATTTTAAATCTTAAAGTAATAAAGAAATGAAAGCTAATCAAGATTAACTCTTCACTGATAATATTTTCCACAGATGTAATGATTATGCTATGAAAACTTAGAATACCTTGAATCAGCATCAACACATTGATGATCAATCCAGTTCGGCTTTACTGTTGAGGATTCGGTATGGCAGAAACCGCATGTTTCATTGCATGATAATTGCATTAGAGGCTTCAGCTTTGGATCATTGCAATTATTTTTCAGTGATGAACACTTTTCTGTCATGTCGAAACAAATATCTAAACAAGATAATTTCTCATAAGCTGTAAGTGTCAATACAAAATAAGCAATAAATTCAATTAAGGTAGAGACGAACTTATTGGTCGACAAACATTGCACGTTTTGGGACATAGTCTTTTTGATTCTTCATTTTCACAGTTTGATTTGAGAATGCGACAAATTACAGTGTTACTATCGATACATTCTTGGCCACATAGACCACATGTTTTAGGACATTCTGCACTGAACAGTGATAGGAGTACTCCATTTTTGGTCTTACATAAGCCACTTGTTTTGATTTTATCACAATCTAAGCGCACTAAAAATGAATTCTATAGTGACTTATTATCTCGAGAAAATTGCAATTAAATCTTAGAAAAGTTGAGAAAGGTATGAAATATTGTTGCTTTTGCAATGATTCCTGCAATAATAAATGATATTAAAATTATAACCTATTTTGTCGTTATTAATATTAACTTTATTAAATTGAAAATTATAAATGTTACCTCCACGATCGTTACATTGAAAACGTGGCAGCTTACAGCATGTTTCACAGCTTTTTGCACAATGCGTACCTTTTGCTGATAATTTTTCTTTATTACCATCCACGAAACATTCTTTTTCTCTAAAATCACATCCAAACAAAGGTGTTGCACATCTTGCAATTTAAAATTTTTGACTTATGTTTAAGTAAGTAAATAAGATAATTGCTAACTTGTTTTCAATCCCATCACAAAATGGTGAATTGTAATCATTATCACAATCACACTGATCTGCTTGCGAATTTGTAGTCTGCACCATCAAAAGACTAATAATTAAAGGTAATGCTAAAGCCATCATAGTCTTCCTCGTAAATATGTTCCGCAATTTTTTAATTGTCTTAAATACTGTAATGAATGAAGTTTTGTAATCGGTTTACCTTAACAGCTACATTTTATTAGTTTATTCACATGAAGTAGAATCGCATTAATATGAAAGGTGACAAATAAATCAGTTTGCCATGTGCACCATCAAAAAACCGTTTATTATAAGGAATGATAAATTTATCATATACTGTAAGATATGAAGCATTTAACGAAACAAAATGATCAACCACTATCGTAGAACCAAACCGATAGTGACAGGAAAAACTGATTGAAGATGAATGAAATCAAATCCTTTTATCCGGAAACTCATCCATGACTTCTCTATCACATTTGATCCTATCATCCCATCTCGATTCTGCTATACAATTGGCATCAGACTGTGTGTTGAGACGATTAGACTGGTAATGTAACCGATCATAAATCCATTACTATACTAAATATGATATTCTACGAATGAATATGTGCAATAATTTACAAAACAGGTGAAAAAACAATGTCTAAAGCGTAGGTAATTGTCAAAATTATAAACTTTTCAATAGTAATATGAGTCGTAGAATAGTTTGCAGCTGAAGGAAAACATTATCTGAACCACCCGAACCATCTGTGGAAACATTAACGGTTTGAATCTGATACACGGGCATACAATAGAAGTGTTGTTTATCACCTCAAAAAAAAGGATTGATAATAACAATCGCTGCTACTACCAAATGTAATAATAGGTCTATAATCCAATAATATGTATTTTATTTGTTATCAGGGATGAAACGGTGATAATTCTAATTTCGTCCATCTATCGACATATTACTGTTATTGAGACCCTAAATAAGAGTTGATGCAGGATATTTAATTAATTATGGAATTAAATAATTGAATTATTCGAAGCACAAATCAATTAGAGATCTGAACAAATGAAAGCAAAACTATCATGGAATCACGCGACTTTGGCAACTTGTTTCAATTTGAAACGAAGTGATTTTACAATCATTATAGTCATTCACTGTTTTTAGTTCTATCATCTGATGTTTTTAGTTCTATCATTTATATACTTTCAGAACTTTTGGGAAATATTTTGGGATAGGATTAATACTCGCGGCAATTAGCTAAATGCTAATCTTTCATTAACAATTCGTTGACCTGATCAATAGCTATCTCTTTCAAAAATTTATGTGTTGACAATTCAGATGATAACATTACTTTCCTCCACATTTGTCGTT